CCCTGGCCCAGGGGTAGCCTCAGGGAAGCTGGCCCAGGACCATCTTCTGTGGTCCTGAACGAGGGCCTGGCTGCCACACCCACCCAGAAGTGACTTCTGGGCTCAAGGTCCCAGATGCAGGCCCAGGCCTGCCAGTTCCAGGAGTCCAGAGCACCTGACTGTCCTCCAGCTAAGACTGTGTCACCTGGCACTGGCGACGGGAAGTTGGCTCTGGGAATGTTTCTGGGAAGTCACCGAAAGAACGGCTGGACCCTCAATGCTATCAGCACTGCTGACCTTTGCCTCCTCCCTGAGGATCCTCTAGGGACACCTTTGCTCTAAGGGCCCGCCCAGAGATTTTTTTACAGCCGAAGGGTGAACTCCCACTCAGAGCTGTAGGAGAGAACTACACCCTCACTCTCCGGAGAGAGTGTTTCCAGCCCTGATTCCTCCTCCTCTGCCCAGGAACTGGTCCCACTATGAACCCAGACTCCTCCTAGGACCTCTGGGCCCACTAGGGACTGACTCCTCTTCCATTTGCTGAACTAGGTCCAGTAGAGATTCTAAAACCAGGTTCACTGAGAACTCTGATTCCTCTTCTATCCACAGGACATGGTCCACTGGAGACTCTGACCGTTCTTCCACTAGCAGGACTAAGTGTACTGGGGACTTGACTCTTCTCCCTGGAGGACTAGGACCCACTGAGGATTCTAACTCATTTCTTAAGAAAACCAGACCCAGTGGAGATGCAGACTTCCCTTCTATGAGAACGAGGTCCACTGGAGACTGTGGATTCCTTCTCTCCAAGGAGGACTAGGGTCCACTGGGCCTTGGGCTCCTTTTCACCTGAGAAAGACCCACTGAGAATTTGTAGGTCACATATTCATTTAAGGAGAAACCAGACATGGTGACAATAGCAGAGAAGCAAGGCCCACCACTGACAGAGGAGATGTAGAGAATGCAGACAGAGCTCTCACAGGGGAACCGAGGACCAGAAGAGAGCCAGCGAGGAGCAGGAGAGGAGCAGGGAGGAGCAGGGAGGAACAGGAGATATTAGGGAGGATCGGGGAGGAACAGGAGAGATTAGGGAGGATCAGGAAAGGAGTAGGGAGGATAGGGAGGAGCAGGGAGGAGCAGGGAGGATCAGGGAGGAGCAGGGAGGATCAGGGAGAAGCAGGAGAGGAGTGGAGTAGGGAGGATCAGGGAGAACTGGGGCCTCAGAGGCCACCCTGGGAAGTGAGCTATGTGCTGCCCAGGGAAGAGACAGCCAACTAGCACCCAGATGCTGCAGCTCGGAGCTGACCTCCATGTGGCCTCACTACAACCCGACAGGTCCACTGGCCCACCGCCTTCTCAGGACTGGGGCTTTGCCTGGTCCTTGGGTCAGGCCTGCAGGTCTCTAGTCACCACGTCCAATGCTCCCACTAGCAAATGCTCCCTCCCCAAAACACCAACAACGCCCCCCTCACTGTCCATCAACAACGCCCCCCTCACTGTCCATCAACAAC